TCCACGATGAGGCTGCGCATCTCCTCTGCAACGAGCAGGGACCTGAGGAGAACACGAGGCTGAGCTCAGGCACCCACGGGGGTCTCCCGGAGCCCCTGAGCAGGGAGCTGGCCCTGGGGCTGGGATGAGCTGGGTCCCCAGGGCCTCTGGGCACCCCACAGCCCTGCGGTGGGAACAGAGTCATTGGGTGCAAATGACCCCGGCTAAAAATAAGCTGTTTGCAGTCTTGGCCCTGCCAAGGAATTCGGAAAATGAACAACCAGGAAGGAATGTTGGCAGCAGCGTCAGAACTGCGCGTACAGCGAGCGAGCAGGCCCCCGTGCCCCGGCACCCCGTCTTCCTCAGCACCAAGCACCCCAGGGCACAGCCTCTGCTGATGGACACAGCCTGGCAGAGCCTCCCGGCACAGGAGGAGTCATGCACAGCCCATCAGCTAAGCCTGAGGCAGTCAAGCTCTCCGGCACGGCAGGGGGATAGAGACGTGCCTGAGGATGCGCCAGGGATGGGGACAAGCACGGCAGTCCCGGCTCTGCCACTCCCTGCTCCACCTGACAGAGCAGCACAGCCTGGTGCTGGCTCAGTGAGCAGGATGGAGCACACACCAGCACCAGGGCAACCCCACACAACATGCCAGTCCCTCAGCTCCTGCAGCACCACGCAAGGGACACGGGGCAGGGGAACACTCACCGCTCCGAGCCACTGCTGCTGCGGGTGGGCTGGCTCAGGCTCACCTCCAGGGATCCCTGGGGAGGAAGGAGACATCTCAGCCCCACGGTCATTACCTGGCATGCAATGACGGTGAGGCATGACTGTACGCCTCCTCCTCCTCCTCATTAACCCAGCTCTGGGCGCAGAGACAGCCTCACACGCTGCTGCCATGGGGCAGAGGAGCCCTGGCACCCACAAGGGCACGGCAGGAGCCAGGGCTGCAGCTGGGGCTCCCCGGGTGCGGGGGCAGCCGGCGGGCGCGCTGGCCGTGTGTGTCCTGAGCTGACCCAGCTGGCTGAATACCGTGCAGAATTGCACAAGGTCAGTGCTGAGTAATACGCTTACGGCACAAAGTCCCATTGTAATGGGGCCGCTGACTTCCTGCCCGCGGCGGTGGGACGCAGCGCTGGGAAGTCCCTGGCCCTGCAGTGGGACAGGGTCAGTTCCTCCTCACGCAGCACGGCTTGACATGGACAGTGCCACTCACGTGACGGGCCTGGCACACATGCTGGGACACGAGGCAGAGCCCAGGCACAGTCAGGCACCGGGCCGGGCACGGTGCCCGGCGCAGAGGGGTGCGGGGACATGGAAGCACCGGCAGTGCTGTCCTGGGAGATGCACGGGAGCTGCTGCCAGCTGCAGCCCAACGGGGCAGCCAGAGGCTCGGCAGGCCAGAGCACGCAACGCCAAGAAAAAGAGACAGACGCTAAAAATAGTGTTGGGAAGGGGGAGCCACCGCAGGTATGGCTGTGCTGTGGGGCAGGGCCGGGCACCACTGACCTGTGGCATTAAGGGCACCTGTCACACAGGGCTGGTGCCCATGCACAGGGCCAGTAGCTCCAGACACTGTCCCGCTGAGAGAGGAGGGCCTCACACGCTCCTCAGGGCTGCAGCATGCAAGCAGTGCCTGCTTTCTGCTCAGGAGGCAGCGGTGGCAGCCGGCTCTTTCTCAGGGATATAAATAAACAGCAGAGGAGCTGCGGCCGCAGGGCCAGGGGAGCTGCTCCCACGCTCCCACCAAGGGCCGGCTGACACCGCGGCTTTCCAAGGACCCCTGGCCACAGCAAAGGGCTCTCGGGGGAGCTGGCGTCACCAGTCGCCCACGCCAGCCCGGAGCCAGCGCGGCCCATGGGATGTGGGAAGCCCAAAGACGGTTCCTTACGTAGCTGTGCCCTTGGCACTGCCACCAGCCAGTCCCCAGAGGGCCCAGCTCCAGCCCTGTCACTGTCCCCACGGGCTGCCCCACCTGCTGCTAAGGGACGGACAGAGCCGGGGCCGTGCTGCAGCCCCCGCAGCGGGCAGGGGAGAGAGGCCACAGTGAGCGGGACCGGGCAGTCCCCACCCCCTGTGCCCCACGAATCCGGGCTGGGATCCACGGCCCTCGGTGCGGGAGAGCGGCGGGACAGAGCGGAGCCCCGGGAGCTCCCCCGCAGCCCGCGCTATCAGCCGCCGCACACGCAGCCCGGCCGGAGGAAGCACCGGTTTCCGCCGCTCCGTTTCCCTCCAGAGAGGAAGCAGCCGGAGAGGGGAGATCCAGGCCCGCTCCCCGCGGCCGGCACGTGCTCCCGGGACAGCCCCGGTCCGCTCCCGCCGCGGGTCTGGCACGGAACCCGGTACCCCGCGGTCCCTGCCCTAAGAGCGGGCAGCCCGGACCGGAGCACCCAGCGGGACGGCCGGTGCTGCCCCGCGGGCCCGGGACCTCCGCGCCCGCCCGGAGCCTCTATGGGCTGCGGCTCTCCCGCACCCACCGGAGCGACGCACCCCGCACCCAGCGGGGCCGCCCCGGCGGCGCGCCCGCTCTCCTCCCGGTGGCCGTCCCGGCGCCGGTACCGGCCCCACCTGGTCTCCGTGAGCGCGGAGCTCGAAGGACGCCTCCTCCTCCTCTTCGGCCTCGCCGTCCGCCTCCCGCTCCGCCTCGCCGTAGTCCCGCCGCAGCAGCGTGAAGCCCCGCCGACAGCACAGCAGCCACCAGAGCCCGCCCGGGAACGGCATCGCCCCGCCGACACCAACGGGACGGCACCGGGACGCGACGGGACCGGCCCGCCCCGCGCACCGGCCGCCGGCCCCGCCGCCGCCCCGGGCGGGCCGGGCCGCGCGTCACCGGGCGCCGCCAATCGCCGCGCGCGGCCCGGGGCGGAGCTCCCGCCCGGGGCGGCGGGGCCGCCGGTGCGTCACGGCGGGGCGGGGGCAGCGCGGGGCCGGGCTGCGCTGGGCACGGAGCTCCCGGAGCCGCCGCCGCCGATAGGGTGCACCGAGTACCCTCGGCACAGCACGGGGGCACCGTCACTGAGCGCCGCCTGCGCCCGGTGTGGGCACCGGCACCGGGCACGGGCCCCTGCCCTGCCCCGCGGCACCCGCACCGTGCGCTGCTCTCCTGAAGCGGTGGCGCCTGTCCCAGCATGGCGACTCAGCCAAGTTTGTGCCAGCGGGCAGCACCGTGGGCTCGGTGCTCGGGCAGGAGGGCACCATGGGCAAGAGGGCATCATGGGCAAGAGGACACCATGGGGAGGAGGGCACGATGGGCAGGAGGGCACTGTGGGCAGGAGGGCACCATGGGCTCTGTGCCTGGGCAGGAGGACACCGTGGGCAGGAGGACATGATGGACAGGAGGACACGGTGGGCAGGAGGACACAGCGGGCAGGAGGGCACCATGCCCAGGCAGGCCTGTCCTGCAGGCCCTCATAGCGACTTTCCACCAAGGAGCTGGTGGAAGGCGTTCATGGTGGTGCCACAGCTGTGTGGCTCAGCTCAGCCCCGGCTCTGCCCAGTGGCAGAGGGCATGGGTGCCACGGCAGTGTCCAGGCCCTGGTCCCGCTCCCGAAGCCCTGGGAGCCCAGGCTCTGGCTGTGCCTCCGCTGTTGGGTCAGCGCCGTCCCTGGGAGCTTGTCGCTGCTGGGATGTGCAGGCAGGAAGCTCCGGCTGCCAGCTCCCCTCCCACGCAGCCGGCTCGGGATTGTGCCTGGGGCTGAGCCCCTGGTGTGGGGCCGGCTGTGCAGACAGGCCAGCCACCAGCTGTGGGGACATCGGAGGGCTGGAGTGGGACCACCCCGGACCACAGGCAGCAGGGGCAGCTGTGCTGTGTGGCCAAGAACTGCCCGAATCTGGCTCTTGATCCCCACCGAGGGCTGTGGGGGACAGAGGCCCATCACCCCACGTCTGCAGCTGCTGAGTCAGCAGGAACATCCTTCTGGCCCAGCAGTAGGTGAAGCTTCTGGAATGGCTTCTTCCAGCCGAGCCCTGGGCTAATCCCAAACAGGGCAGGGGATGAGCAGGAAGTAGCAGGACCAGGAGATTCTTCCCTGCATGCCCAGCTCTGCTGGGAGGCTCCGTGAGCAGCTGCACCACAGCCAAGCCCAGTCCTGTTCCCTCACTGTGGAGCGTTTCCTTAGCCAGGCCTGGTGATGGGACACGGCCTCGGCACCGTGTGCCAGCCCGTGGGGCGAGTGTCGCTCGCCATGTCCTAGCCCGTGCTCATGCGTTGGTCGCCACGTGTCCGGCCCGGGCCAGCCCCCGCGCAGCACCCTGGTGCCGCAGAGCCTCGGGGCCGGGATGTGCCGTGGCACGGGAGCTCGTGGGGGGAGCAAGGAAAGGAGAAAAACCTCCCTCTGCTCCGCCATGGGGTGCAGGACGCAAGGAGGGTTTGTCCGGCGTGGGGTGGGTCTCTGCTGTCCCCTGTCCGGGAGCTCCGTGTCCCTCCAGCGGCGGGGACGAGCAGAGGGCGACCAGGAGCCGTGAGTTTCTGCTGCCTCCTGCAGGCACCGCCCGCCGGTGCCCGTGGCCAGGGAGCCCCGCAAAAACCCCGCTCGGAGACCGGGACTCGTTCGGGGTTTATTGTGAGAGTGGGAACCAACTCGTTCGGGGTTTGTTGTGAGAGTGGGAACCAAATCTTTAGGGGTTTATAGTGAGACTGGAAACCAGCTCGTTCGGGGTTTGTTGGGGGAGTGGAAACCAGCTCGTTCGGGGTTTATTGTGAGAGTGAGAACCGACTCGTTCGGGGTTTATTGTGAGAGTGAGAACCAGCTGCCTGCCTGGTCCCGGTGTTGCACCCACCGAGCCGGCTCACCGGAGCACGCAGACACCGCTCGGTGACATTGCAGGGTCTCTGCAGGGACCGCAGCCCCGCCGGGCAGTGGGGGCACTCGCAGGGCGTGCAGGCGATGCGGAGCTGCTCTCCCCTCTCCCCAGGCGTGTGCCGGCGCCGTGCGGGCTGTCCGGTGCTGCCCGCGTCCCGCTGCTCACCGGGGCTGTCCCCGGTGCTTGGCGGAGGCACCGAGCCCCGCGGCACGGAGCTTCTACATCACGTCCAGGTAGCTGGAGAGCGATGCCCGCCGGCGGGGGCTGGAGCGGCCGGAGCAGCGCGGACCGAGACACCCCGCACAGCCGGCATCGCTGGCGAGCCGCCGCAGCTCCCGGCGGAAGCGCTGCCCGAGGAAGGCGTAGAGCAGCGGGTTGAGGCAGCAGCGCAGGTACGCCAGCCCGCCCGTGACCAGCAGCGCCAGGTCCTTGCGGCGGCTCTGCGCGCAGCTCATCTCCCAGGGGAGCAGCAGCTCGGCCGCGTCCAGCAGCACCATCAGGCTGTGGGGCAGCTGCAGGGCCACGAACGCGAGCACCAGGGCCAGCAGCACCCGCAGAGCCCGCTGCGGCTGGGCACCGCGGCTCGCCAGCAGCGTCCGTGCCACGGCCGCGTAGCAGCTCGTCATCACCAGGCAGGGCAGCGCGAAGCCCAGCAGCACCTGCAGCAGGTTGGTGGCACCGCGGGCTGCCCGTGAGACCTCGCGGGGAAACGCCACGCGGCAGAGGCGGAGGTCGAGGTGCTGCTCTGCCCGGCTGTAGATGAACGGGGGCAGTGCCAGCAGCGCGGCCGCCCCCCAGGCCAGCCCCGCTGCCAGGCAGCCGAGCCGGCGAGCCCGGGGCCGCAGGCGGCAGGCGGCCGGCACACGCACGATGGCCACGTAGCGATCCACGCTGATGAAGGTGAGGAAGAGGAAGCCGCTGTAGAAGTTGAGGGCGTAGAGACCCTGCAGCGCCTTGCAGGCGGCTGTGCCCGCGGACCAGCCCTGCAGCGTGTCGAGGATGGCGAAGGGCAGCGTCAGGAGCAGCAGGAGGTCGGACAGAGCCAGGTGCAGGATGCAGACATCGCTGATGCTGCGTGCCTGGCGGTAGCGAGTGTGTGTGAGCAGCACCAGCCCGTTCCCCGCTGTGCCCAGCAGCGAGAGCAGCAGGTACACGGCGGGCTGGAAGGTGCGGGCGAAGCCCTGCACTGCCTCCTTCTCACAGAGCTCTGGCAACATGCTGGCCTCGCCCGAGTACCCGTCCTCCCAGGGGTAGAAGTCAGTGGTGGCCATCAGCTCTGTTGAGATGGGGCTGGGAGTCACCTGTGCAGAGGGAGGCTGGGCAGGGGTGGCCCGGCCATGGGATGCAGAACCACCCCTGGGACAGCCCTTCTGCACCCAGCCTCACACTGGGAGCCCGGGGCACACTCAGGGCACACCCAGGGCACGCCCAGGCAATCCTTCTCTACCCGCCCTCACCACGGGGAGCCCAGCCCAGGTGCCGCAGTCTCTCGTCCTGGCCCTACCTGCGGGTTTTGTTTCCATCTCACACCCACCCGCAGCAGTTTATTTTGCCGTGCTCAGAGTGTGTAAGAGCGACCACAGAGGCTTCCTGAGAAGCCTGTGCAGAGCAGAGCTGGTGGAGGGACGTGACTGCAGCCACAGCATCCCCAGCACAACACCTTATCCCACAGAATCCCCTTGCACGTACCAGGGAGCTGCTCTGGGGCTCAGCACCCAGCCATGGCCCTGGGCAGTTGAGTCCTGGGATCCACACCAGCATCCCCAGGTGCCCAAAGCCCCCACACACCCCCCCTGGAGACCCCAGAGTGGGCACAGCCTTGCACTGCCCGGTCCTGTTCCCAGATAGGGAGCTCCTGCCTCACACAGGGAGCACAGTGCTCCCATCCCCCAGCTGCTCACCCCTCGGGGCAGCAGGACAGTGCTGCAGCCTGGTACTGCTCTGTTGGGACCCCACTGATCTGGAGATCAGGATATGACACTCTCTGACTCATCATAGCCTCATATCAGCAATTTCACTCTGGCTCCTGTCAGTGAGCCCGAGCTGGGCTTGGGTCCCTCAACTGCTCTGGAGCCACAGCTGGGATCAGAACCCAGTGCCAGGGCAGGCTGACTCTCCAGCAGCTCCTCCAGACCCTTTCCTGCTCAGGACCTGGAGCACCAGGCACCACCCTGATTCCCCAGGGTTTTACCTTTCAGTCTAAATCCACAGGACTCACTAAAAAACGAAGAAAAGCCAATGATGGGGGGGTCCTGCCTGGCTCCCAGCAAACCCCTCACCCTGGAGCCCCCTTACCTGCTCTGTCATTGCACAGCAGAGCCTTTCTCCTGGCCTCTGGGTCTGAAGATGTTGGTGTCTCAGCTCTTTCAAACCTGTGGTTTGACTACGTGAAGCTCCTGATACCGAGAATGAAGAAGAGCACAGGCCCAGCCTTGAGGAAAGCAAGGTGGCAGGTGTGACCCCACTGTGGAGCTATAATCAATCTTTTACTCTGTTCATCTTTTACATCTGTACGCTGGGGACAGAAATAGCAGCTCTGCTCAGTCTCTGTCATGTGGGTGTGCAGGACAAAGCTGGGAGCAGGCAGCCAGGGGAGCAGGGTCTGGCTGAGGGCATCCAGCACATGCAGGAAACCCCAGCCCACCCCAGGGCTGTTGTTGGCTTCTGCAGGAGCAGGGAGAATGGAGACAATGAACAGAGTGAGGCTGCTGTGGGCTGGGCACGGGCAGGGTGTTCCTCAGGCAGGATTGGCAGAGCCCTGTCTGGTCTAGGGTTGTCTTTTCCTGGTGGCAAACGTGGTTGCTGGTGCAGGGCACTCACCCAGGGCTCCCAGCCTGGTGCTGCATCCCCACAGTGCTGGGCACGCCTGTTGCTGGTTGTTGACAACACAATTCCCAGCTCCTCATTAAAAAGCAGATTAGTTGCTCTGGGGCAGAGACCCCATTTCCTCTCCTCAGGGGGGAGAAGACTGATCCCTAGCCTTGATGGGCTCCATAATCCCTCAATCCCCCTTTCTCCCAACTACAGCTGTCTTTGCCATGGCTTATCTCCACCCTGCCCTCGGCCCTCCTGCTGCCTGCAGACAGGATCCTGGCTGCTCTCTGTGGGGCTGTGGAGCTGCTGGATGGAGAGCAGCCAGCACAGGTGCCCCCAGCATCCAAGGGATCCCCAGGGCTCTTTGCTGGATGTTCTCTTCCCCCTCTCCAGCTCTTTCTGCAGTGCAGGGGTGCTAACTGCACATCTCTGCCCTGTGCTGGCTCTGGGGCTGCCTTCCTGCATCTGGGGGGAAGGGGAGGGAGGAGGGTCCTGGGCCCAGTCTGTGGGTGCAGAGCAGGGATTCTACACGTCCCTGTTGGGGCTGTCACAGATCTGACCCAGCACAGGGTCAGGACGTGGGGCTGAGAGCAGGCAGCCCCCGGGGTGTCCGGATAAGGCCAGGGGGGCTCTGCTTCTCCTGGGATGGATTCTGCGGGCACTGCCAGGTCTGGGGGACAAGAGGGAGGGTGACAACGTCCCCAGCTCACAGTTCCAGCTCTTGATAGCAAAACTGGTGCGCTGCCAGGTGTCCCACATCCCTCCACACCTGGGGCTTTCTGTTCTCTCTCATTCCCTGGGCAGGAAGGAAGTTTGGTCCCGGCTGTCCCAGCTGATGGCTGTGCTGCCCTGCCCTGCCTGGGCAGCCAGCCTGGCACATTCTGCCAGGTCTGGAGCCACCGGTGCAGAGCTGGGCACAGCCTGGCCGTGCTCCTGCTCCTGCCTGGAGCCAGCAGCTGCTGGGGCATCCCTGTCCTGGGGGCTTGGAGCAATCTCCTGCTCCTGCTTGGAGCCAGCAGCTGCTGGGGCATCCCCATCCCCCGGGACTGCTCCAGGCTCCCAGGACAGCAGGACTCCTGCTCCCTCGGGGCTCTAGGTGTATGTAGGGCACGCAGGCACCAGCCCCCCCAACCCCTCTGTGGGCGTCTGGGGGTGGTTGAGAGCAGACACGAACTAAATCCCTTCTTCTGCACCACTGGAGAGAGCGGCGACCCCGAGACCTGCAGGCCTTAATCCACGGCTTGATTACAAACCCTCCACATCTGCTGCGGGGGGGCTGCGGGCACCGCTCCGACCCTCCCCGAGCGGCGGCTGGGACCGGGCACCGCCGGGGAACCGGCAGGAGCTCCGGGACAGCCTCCCCGCGCCCCGGTACCGCACTGACACAGCCCCGGTGCCGCTCGCCGTGCGAGGAGCGGGGAGATCGAGCTCCCGGGCGGAGCATCTCCCGGGGGCGGCCGGGACTCTGCGCCGCGCCCGGCCCGGCCCGGTTCCCCCCCGCCCCGTGGGCGGAGCCGCCGGCCCCGCTCCGCCGCAGCACCGGGAGCGGCGGCGCCGAGGGGCTCGGGGCGCGCAGCATGAGCGCCCGCCGCCTCTTCGGGCTCCTGCTCGCCGCCTGCGCCGGCTTCCTGCGCCCCGGTCCCGGCTGCCTCGCACGTAAGTGGGGCCGCAGTCCCGGCAGCGGCCGCTCCGCACTGCGGGACCGCGCCCGCCGCCCCGTCCGCGCATCCCCGAGCGGTCCCCGCGTCCTCCGCTCCCTCGGGCGTCCCCTCTTCTTCCCCGGGCACCCCCGGCATCCCTCGGGATGCTCCGCTGCCGCCGTTCGCGCCGTCCCCAAGGTCACCGCCGGGCGCGGCCGTCCCGGCTCTCCCGCCGACCGCGCCCCGCCCGGGGCGGCCCCGCCGCAGCCCCCGCGCCGGCCGCAGCCTCCGGGGACCCGGGACAACCGGGATAACGGGGACGCCCCGAGGACGCGGGATGCCCCGGAACGCCCCGGGATGCCGCGGAGAGCGGGGACGCCCCGCGGGACCGGCGGGCTCTGCCGGCAGCACCTCGATCAGCGCCGCCGCGGGGCTGCACCGGGCCCGACCCCACACCGGGGCTGGGGCAGCCGCTCGGGAACGGGAATGGGAGAGGCCCCGGTGGCACCGGGCAGCTCCCCGTGGCCCCCTGAGACGGCGCCTGGGACCCCTTCCCCGAGGCCGGGGCGAGGGGGCATCGAGGCGGGGGTCGGTGGTACCGGGGAGGGCAGAGTCGGGGGGCGGTGGGCCGGGGGTTGATGCAGCACGGATCCTACAGTGAGAGCTGGGGATGCTCCTGAGCTCCCCGCGCTCCGTCCGACCCGGTAAGGGACCCTGAAAGAGGTTCGAGACCCCGGCCCTTCCGAAGGGTCCTTTGCCGGTACCGCGAGGGTTCGCACGGGATCCCCCGGGATCCCCCGCGGGATCGTTCCCCGCCGGGGCGGGGCAGAGCGGGGGTCCCGTCGCCCGCGTCAGTGCGGAGGCGGCTGGTGCCGGCGCCGGGCCCGCAGAGGTGTGTCAGCTCCGCTGCAGTGGGAGGGGAGAGCACAGCGGGCCCGCCGCTCCGCCGGCCCGAGGGAGCGCTCGGGGTCCGCACAGGGACACTGCCCAGCTCGGTGCTCCGAGGCCGCCCCCAACTCCACTCTCCCCCCAGGACCCTGCTATGATGAGCTCGTTGCTCCCCTTTACTCCTATTCCATCGGTGCCTCCTCCAGATACAACATCTTCTACTCGGCCAGCTTCGCCCGTCTGCACAGTGAGTCCCCCCGCAGGGACGGTGGGCAGGGGGTGCCCCCGGCCGGGTTTTGCCTCTCGCGGGGCTGAGGGGCCCGGTCGGGTGCTGTGGTGGTGCCAAGCGAGCCCTGAGCTGCTCCCCCCGCAGGCACCAGCGGCTGGTCCCCCGACCCCCGCGACAAACAGCCCTGGCTCCAGATCGACCTGATGCAAAAGCACCGGATCAACGCCGTGGCCACGCAGGGAACCTTCAACACCTACGACTGGCTCACACGCTACATTGTGCTCTATGGAGACCACCCCACCAGCTGGAAACCCTTCTTCCAGCAGGGCAGCAACTGGGTAGGGGGGAGCCCGGCGCGGGAGGGGGCTCCCTGAGGTGTGTCAGCAAGGTGCTGACAGTGCCTCTTCATCCCCAGACATTCTTTGGGAACGTGAACGAGAGCGGGGTGGTGCGGCATGACCTGCATTACCCCATCCTGGCACGGTACATTCGCATCATTCCCGTGGCCTGGAACCCCCGTGGGAAGATTGGGCTGCGCCTGGGCCTCTATGGCTGCCCCTACCGTGAGTACCTGGCCAGGGGCTCCAGCAGCCCTGCCTGGTGGGATCCTGGCTCTGGCAAAGCTCTCTCAGGGAGGGTTGTGCCCAAACACCCTGCAGCCATGGCAGCAGAAGGGTGTGTTCCCCATACCAGGGCACCTGCTGCTGCAGGCAGTGACGTGGCTGGGGCTGCTCTGCTCTCCCCAGGGTCCCACGTGCTCTACTTTGACGGGGACGATGCCATCTCCTACCGTTTCCGAGCCAAGAGGGTCAGCACCTTCGAGGATGACATCTCCTTCAACTTCAAGACTCTGGAGCAGGATGGGGTGCTGATGCACGGGGAGGGCTCCCAGGGCGACTACATCACAGTGGAGCTCAAACAGGCCCAGCTCCTGCTGCACATCAGCTTAGGTGAGCCGGGACCAGGGGCTGGGGGCGTGGGGCCAGGGGGCCACGGGCTGATGCTGGTCCTCCCCAGGCAGCAGCCCACTGCACGCCACTGAGGGCCACACCACGGTGGCCGTGGGCAGCCTGCTGGATGACCAGCACTGGCACTCCTTGCACATTGAGCGCCTGGGCCACTACGTCAACCTGACGCTGGACGGGGAGGTGAAACGCTTCCGCTGCCGCGGCACCTTCGACCAGCTTGACCTGGAAACTGAGGTGGGTGCGCAGGGCAGGGGCTGTCAGGGTGTTGATGGTGTCCTCCAGAGAGGGGGTGACACCCTCCCTGTGCCTGCCAGGTGTTCTTTGGAGGGGTGATCGACCACGACAAGCAGCACCTCACGTACCGGCAGAACTTCCGCGGCTGTGTGGAGAACATCATGTTCAACGGGGTCAACGTCGCCGACCTGGCCCGGCACCGGCGGCCCAACATTCGCTTTGAGGTCCAGCCCGGGGGGTGGCTCCTTCTCTCCCTGTCCTGGGTGTCCTTAGCCCCACTGTGGGGTACCCTGGCTGCTGTGGGGTGATGTGGGGCCAGGCAGCTGCCGTGCTCAGCCAGGCGGTGCCAGATTGACCCTGCAAGGTTGTCCCTGGCCTGGGGCACCCGCCTGGCTCTGCCAGGCATTGGGATCAATTGGGCATGATTGAGGCCAGCACTGCGGGGATGAGAGTGGGACATTCCCTTCCTCACCCCTCCCATGGTCACTCCCAGGGCAACGTGGGCCACTACTGCCAGGACCAGCTGACCAGCCCCATCACCTTCGCTGGCATCAACAACTACGTGCGGGTGCCGGGGATCCCGCGGAGGAACCGCCTGGCCGTCAGCTTCCGATTCCGCTCCTGGGAC